ATATTATTAGCTAATATTAGCCTGGTAACAGTAAAGAGAATTACCATATTTCTGGTGAGGGGACCTGCACAGTGCAGACATCTCAAACAACTTTTAGGGTTTGGATCCTTCATATCAGTATTACACACACTTCCTCAGATTCTGTCTCTTAGCCTTCTTCAAAGCATCTCCAACAGATGATCTAAAAGACACAAAATCTTCAAATTTTAGCTATTTAGCCCAAAAATTCTATTCCAACAAATTATCTTCAAAATATTAAAATAACATTTTGCTATAGTAATACTCTAGATTTATAGTATCACTGTAGCGATATGTAAACATTTTTATAATATTTTCTCTCTCTTCCTCTCCTTTCCACTATTCTCTCTCTTTCTCCCTTTCACTATTCCCAAAAAAAATAATACAAAAGAAATGAGAAATAATATTTAAAATGAGTAGTTAAAATATCAAAAATCTGTTGGAGTGTGTATTGAAAAAGTGAGTAGCTCAAATAGAAAATGTGTTTTTTGAGTAACTAAAATAACTTTTGTTGTTAGAGATGCTTAGTTATTATGTATACCCTGTTATGAAGGAATAGCCAAACAAACAAGCGTTAGTGGACATAAAAAGTTACACTATTCCCCCAAAAGGAATTTATAATGACATTAAACTCCTCAAAAGTTATATTGAGATAAGAACAACCCTGACTAATTACATGAAGTCCTTATCTACTCCACCACGGAATAAGGTAGTTTTAATAAAACTGAAAATTAAGTTTTGAAAACTGAATGCTAAGTTTTTTTTTTTTTAATCTTAAAACTGTTTGGTATGTACTTAAATTTAAGTACTAAATTGGAACAAACTGTTTGATCAGCACTGCACCGTAGGTTTCATGTATTTATGTAAATGCAATTCTATCATTGCGACTCTTAATGCTAATCCATTGTGCATTACCAAGCACTGACAGAAAAGAGACCAGGGCAAAATCTTGATTGCTGCGAGAGCAGGTTTTCATCCCAAAAAAAGTGAACAAATTGTGATATAGAATTTAGTGTGGGATGATACGCAAACTCTAAAAGATTGTGAGTATTATAGTATCAAATGTGAATCTGATACAACTTCTACTATGAACAGCTAGGGAATCAAATTGTACGGACATGTTTGAATTTCAGTTGATAAACTTATACCCTTTTTTGTTCATAATACACAAATAGGAACAGAGTCACAGACATTAAATCAGATTCCAAGTTAATTTATTATTGTAGTACTCAACTTGTTTCTAATCTATGCAATTCCTACTTCTTCTGCCTCGGGTACTAGTAAAATAGGAATTAGATTGTGAGCATATTGATTTCAGCCGTTGAGATGATAAAATCATAACTCATCTCTCTCTGTCTCTCTCTCTTTCTTGTATACCGTAGGCAACTGAGTATCAACGATCCAAAGGATCACAACGAGAAAGAAAAGGTTTAGACTGTGCGAGGTGACAGAAGTTACCTGGCTGGACGAACTGATCAACTTTAGGTTTTTAGGCAGCGACGGTGGGACGGTGGCGTTGGTGAGAGACGAAGAGACGGTGAGAAGAGACTGAGATTTTAAGAGAGAGAAAAGTGTTCTGATTTGTGCTTTTATCTCATAAACATTTCCCACGGGCTATGGATTCGGGTTATACATAAAAACGTCAATTCAAATCCGGATAATCGAATTGGGGTCAAAACCCGATTTATTGATTTGGCTATCAAAAGAGTAAAACCGTCAATCCAATACACGTCTCTTAGCCTCGACTACCGAGACCAAACTAAAATGTAACCCTAATGTTTGCATTGAGATTGCAACTTAAAATTTTAGGGCAAATTATATTTTATGCTCCTTAAATTATTACCTTTGTTTATTTTTGTACCTTCGACTATAAAATTTTTTATATTACACCATAAAATATCAATTTTGTTTCATATTATTCTAATAAATAAAAATTATCAAATTTTTGATGATAAATGCGCTTATGAGTGATCTGTATTACCAATAAGTAATTGTCTACTTCACATGTGCATATCAAAAATTAAAAAAATATTTATTTATGACTTTACTCTTCCTAAACTCCAAATCTTCTTCCTTTGACCTACCTTTTTTTTACTTCATAACAACCATTTAATTTCAAAAGAGGTAAAATGAAGTGGTACTAGACATTTGGCAGAAAATTCTTTAGAGCTTTCCTCCCTTCTTTAACGAATTTTCAAGTTTGTTATTATCTAATGGAGTGATATGAAACAAAATTGATATTTCATGGTACAATATAAGAAATTTTATAATTGAGTGTATAAAGTAAAATAAAGATAATAGTTTAAGGGAGTAAAGTGTAACTTACTCTATTTTTTGTGGATTAAAATATAAATTTTTGGGGTCTAGTTACAATTTAACATTTGAGTTCACAATCCTAAAATATTGGGATTCTGATTCATAAAAAATTATGAATTTTAAGTTTCAAGTTATAACTTTTTAATAGTCAAGTTATAATTTTTTTGAAGTATTTGGGATCAATTCTAATAAATTTAGGATCGATCCTAAAAATATTACAAGGGATTTTGAGTTTAATTCATAACTTTTTAGAGGTCAAATTCTAATTTTTTGAAGTGTTTGAGATTGATTCTAACAATTTTTTTTTTTTTTTTATCAATCTTATATTTTTAAGATCGATCGTAAAAACCCTCCAAAAAATTATAAATTATACTAAAAAAATTGTATATAATCATAACAAACTTACCTTGGGCTTCAGAGTACTTAGAATTGAATCCAATTTCTCAGTGGTGTAACCTGAATAAAAGTAAGTTCAAAATTTTGAAAATGGGTATCAATCGAAATTAAAAAGGTTTGGGTTGAATTCGAGTACCTATTATTTATTCCATGGAGAGTACCATTTGATGTGCCAGTGCTACACAACGTGAGACGAGGAGGATATTGCATATGCCTCGAAGATGTGTGGTAAGAACCTAGGTAACCTCCGTGGTAATACAAAATAAAAGCATGTTTGGTAACATAAAAATTAACAATTTATTATGATTCCACATTAGTTAAATATGAGATTAGATGTGTGTGTATGAAATTCTGCATATTTTTTCCTTTTTAAGTCTACTAGTTGTTGCCTGTGTCTGAAAGTAAAGAGTAATAAAAAATAGTAAACAATAAATATATTTGTATTTATATCCAAAATCAAATCATAAATATAGAAAAGAAAAAGAATTTAACCATTGTTTTGTAGTGGAGGTGAGAGGTAGTAGGCAACAGTGATGATGGTAGAAAACGATGATTGTTGTGGCGGATGGCAATAACCGTGGCGACGGTGATGGTGGTGGTGGCGGCAGTGGGGCGATTTCAAATACTATTTTTTTTTTTCAAAGTATTTATGAAATGTAATTTCTAGAAGTACTTTTAAAAAATCACTTCAAACACACTCATAGGGCCCCTATTTTCTATTAAATTTAAGTATTAAAATTAGTTGTTAGATTAATTTTAAAGTAAAATTTAAATCGATCTCAACCATGAATAACAAAAATCATTTTGTTTATCTTTTGAAATTTGAATTGTATGCTATTTTATTATATAGATTTTCAAGAACAAATTTTACTTATAGGTTGATAACAATTGGTATAAGAGTCGGTCATCTCGTCGAATATGTGTTGAAACCATTAAGGTATGTGCTCTCTATGGTTGAGTCACAAAACTGGAGACCTATAGACTAGATTAGCGTGGTGGAATGTTATGATCCTATATTGGTTAAGTACGAAGATGTGTAAATAAATCATTGACTGGCCCTTCTTTTATAAGTCGGTTTTTAGGAGGTTCGATGTGAATACATGGTGGAAATTTACTATTGAATAAAATTGTGTAAAAAAATTATAAAAGAGAAATTTAATCCCATGCCGTATTTACAAGTTCCCATATGTTTAGGAGCCTCTTAAAGATTACTGATCAGCATTTCGGAGGGAAGACAAATGCCCTATGATGTGAATTTTGATACTAAAGTGTCCATATAGTATTTTACTAAAATGCAAATGACTCAGGCTGTCACTGTAGGTTACAATGAATAAAAAAAATAAAAATAGTTAGCTCACTTTCAACAGAATTCTACACTTTTTTTTTTTGTGTCAAGTGATAATTAGTAAGAGAAAATAGATTATTGTAAAATTGTCAATAAATCGTGTCATGTTAAATTTGTATCGCATCTAAATAATATTAATTCACTCTAACCTATTAATAGTTGTATGTATAGTCAGAGTCTGTGCCACGCGTAAGTCGTGGTCATTGAGTTCGTGTAATGTTTTGCCGAACTCATGTCAATCCCTTTCTTTTAAGGTGCATAACGAATCCCCCATTTACAACTTGAACCCCATGTACAACTCTCGTGTTAAATTCTTAGATCATATCTAAAATTGTCAAAAGTCTCAAGAACATAACCAAAATTAGTATAAAAATGACACGAATGGCTTAGCACGAATGAACAATGAAAGGGTCAAGTCAATGTCAAACTCGAATACCTTCAAGTTGACTTTATAGAACCATCTAGCCAATATAGTCTGAGCAAATATTTTCCACACATTATCTATCATTGGCATGGGGTCGCATCACTTTATTCTATAAGAATTTCCGGTTCACAAATTCTGCATATCTACCTGAGCACGACACAAGTCAGGTAAGTATTAGGTTGATCCGGTAAACTAGTATTCAACATAAACCCGAACTGGCATGACACAACACAACTCAAATTGCTACTCATAAATGGAACCACAAACAGCAATATCACAAACTTGCATGGCCATACCGATAAGAAAAGAAGGAACCCTAATTACGAAGCAGAGATGAATAGAGAAACTGCAAGCTTCTTTCATGGGCTTCTCAGTGTTTACTAGTACAACACAATTAAAAAAGAACCACCAGACCAAAAATAAAAGATCCGCACACATGCTCTGGAAAACCATAAAGAAAAACTGCATAACCATCACATTCGACAACCAAACCCCTTCCTCTTAGTTGGTTAGCTCCATGATGGCGGAAACTATATCCCCATCTGCAGCTTTGAGCGCCTTAACGGCCTTTGACCGAGAAACTCCAGCCTGGGTCATCACCAACTCAATGTCCTTAGGTTCGACCCCTGTCTCATCCACATCTTCATCATCTTGAGCCATGGCAGAAGATTCGGGCTTGGAGATCACATGACTGAGATCAGGAGCCTTGAACTGCTCTGCTGCCTGAGACTGCAGTTGTGAGCTCAAGTCTTCAATCTTCGCCTCTCCAAATATAACGTATGTGTCTGATGTTGGGCTCTTGAAAACATCGGGTTTTGAAATGACAAACAGAATCTGATAGCAAACAAGAGCCACTAAAATGTTAGCTGAGAAACAAAAACTTTAATGAGGAATAGATAAATCGATACCAGGTTAGAGCACTAACATTCTTGCTCTTCTTCACGGTAACACGACTAACACCAGGGATAGGTTTCATTCCAAGCTTCAACATTGCTTTGCGGCTCTTCTTTTCGCTTCTGCTTTGCTTTGACCTGCCACTAGCATCTCCATCTTGTAGTCCTGCAACAGAAAACTAATTATGAAACCTAGCACATTATTTCTGTTACAATTCTGCCTGCTGTTGCTTCTTGATAAATTGCATACAGTATATGGGTAAATAAGCATATATGTTTGTTAAATAATAATTACAATTGATCCTCCATATGACCAACACATGATTTACTAGATCCAATAAGATCCGATCATGCCATTTATTTGTTATAATTGTGTAAGTGACACAATTTATTACAACACTAGTGCGTACCGTCCTACATATAAATCATAAAACTTGCACACTCCAGATCCAATTCTGACTCAAAAAAATGAAAACAGTTTAGGTATGTGCACCTTTCTTTCAACAATATTCCAAAGTATTGTATTAAAAAAAACAACCCTTGTTATGGGAATTTCCAACCAAACAAGGATTTTAACAGCAATAAATCAAGATGACCCAAGTACAGTGGACCATCAAAATGTGGATATTGTTTTTTCTTCAACAAAAAAATGCAAAAAACAATCAGCAACCACACAATTTAAAATCATTTTACACCCATTTGCATTTTTCCACACAAACAACAGCTGCTAATGCAATAAAAAAACCCCATTTCTACATGCAAGCATTGTTGAAATGATTATAGTTATCAAGGATAGATAATTTATTAAAAACATATAGAATACGATTACGATTATATTTAATCAACTCTATTGAGTTTCATTATAATTAATCATCAATCGATGACCCTGTACATTAGATATTCAACAAGGAAAAACATTACACTATTATTAGTTTACACCACACAGGAAGATTGGATTATGAGTTCATTACATGTACACCCTGCATAACACAAGATGGATGTTCCTCAACAATTATCGTTCATTGATTTTGTGATACCCATCTATGCATAATTTCAATTTGCAACAAAGCTGAATCAATTAACATAAGTATAATATATAACACTTACCCCTTGTAGTTGGGGTTAAAAACACTTTAACTCCTCTAAAGTTCAAAAACCTACCACTCACCCCTTATGGTTTTGGACTACATTGCCAACGATAAAATTTCCATCACCATTTTCTGTTAAATGTCAAAAATTTATTTTTTCCAGAAAATGACACGTCAAAAATCACTTAGCCCCACTCATTCTTTTCTCATATTGTTATCCCCTCTTCTTAGAATAAACACATCTCTCTCTCTACAAGTTAAATATGCATTTTACTAGTCAAATTCGCAAGGGAGCAAAAAATTACAAACTTAAAAAAAGATATTATTGACCATTAATACTAAATTGTTAACCCTGCCAGTTGATGTACTCTAATCCAAGACCTTATGGGGGTAAAAGTGTAGACTTTTAAATAATGCGGAGGCTAGGTGTTTTGGACCATATTTTAACATCATTATATTGGCCATCAACTCGGAGAGCACTTATACGACTCAGTGGCAGCATCGCGGAACAGTACCAGCCACTACCACACCAAATCATGGTTCAAAGTCACGGTATCGGCCATCGACTCGGAGGGCATTGATACACATCGGTCGTGGCGCTGTATCGGCCGATATGCTCAAAATGTTAGATAGAAGCTAAAAAAAAATTTTAAAAAATTCTTAAAAATTTTTAAAATATAAATATCATCATTCATGCATCATATGTTTACAATATATCCAAAAATACATTAAAAATAATTAAAATGAAACAAAAAGATGCTATTAAAAATAATTATCATTATCAATGTTTAAGGTAAGCACTTGAGAACATATCATCATTATTATTGTCTCTAGGATAATACAAATTGAGATAATTTTCACCATAAGGATAATAATTTAGTATTTGATTTGAAATATAATGCTTCAAATATTTATTTAAAAAATAAATAAATTGAATATCTAACTATTACATTAAATATTTTATTAATTTATTAAAGAGTAAATTTAATCTAAGTAAACTTGGGCAAAAAGTGAACCCAAAAATCAATTACCCACAAATAAAATAAATTAACCACTCTAAGTAAAATAAATTAACCACACTTTAATAAATTACTCGCCCTAAGTAAATTAAATTAACCATATTTAAGTTAATAAATTAACCATAATCAATGAGTCCTTAATAGTGGGTTTGCCATCGTGGGTCTGAGAAAAACTCTCAAACAAGAGAGCGAGAGGCAAGACTCTCCGACTAGAGACGAGAGGCGAGAGACCAATGGAGACGAAGAGAGAGGAACAGAGGGAGTCAGGGACTGTTCGAGACTTCGAGTAGTTATAGTCGAGCAACCTAGGGTTTCTGTGATTTGTGGTGTGATCGATGATGCTGGGTCTTTGCTGCAAACCTAGGGTTTTCTTCCTTTCTGGGTCTTTGTTGCGATCTGTGACTACGATGATGCTGGGTCTTTACTGCGATTTGCAACTGCAATCGATGATGCTGGATCTTTAGATTTTGTGGATTTTCTTATACTTCATCTCTTCCTTTTTTTTTTTTTTTTGAATTTCCTCACTATTGGTGGACTATTCCGTGCGAATCAGACAAGTTGGAGCCGACTCACTGTGAGTTTTTCCATTTTCTTCTTCCTTTCTCAGTTTTTTTTTTATTTTTGCTACTCAAATTTTTCAAATCTGGTTGTACTATAGCGGTCTGGCTCGGCCGAGTCTAACCGATTTAGCTCTGAGTTGGGCCGATACCGATAAGTTGTAACCGAGTTAGGACCGATTCAGTTAAATCTCGTTATATTGGTGTAAAGTGTATCGTTATCGGTTCAACAACTGCTGAGACGGATATGACTCGGCCGAGTTGACTCAGACTCGGCCGATAATTTGAACCATGCACCAAATACTACATAAAATAATAAGGTGAACATGACGAGAAATTTAGACCATATTGCGACATGTTGGAATGATATTGTCGGATTGGTGACGATATCTCAAATGACTCCAAGTCACATGAGACTCATGGTCTACACGAAACATGGAATGGTATCGGACTGGATGGGCCCCGAATCAGATATGACTCAGTCGAGTCGTTCCGGTACAACTGATAATTTAAACTTTATTTTGGACCCCAACTACGTTGATGTGAAGTATGATTTATCCTATTATAGATTGCCATTGTATATTATCTAAATGAAAAATCTAAATGTACGAGCCCACATAAGAATACACCATTATTTGTCACTCTTGAATCAGTTTTGGGTCAATAAAGTTCTATTGATCCCTTGGTTCAGTATATTGATGGCAATTTCATCCTTTTCACTTTCCTTCGCTCACAAGATAGCTGGAAGAACTCAGAATAGAAATAAAAAACCACACCTCATCCTCTCTCCCTGATGAATGCATCCTTTAGGGACAAGAAGTGATATCCAAGAGAATAAGGAACAAGAATTATGCAGAGATGCATTCAGGCCGTGGATGGCAGAGGCAGCTACAATGTCAACCTCATCTCTATCCGGGATTGGTTCAACAGTCAAAGGGCTGCAGTACGTTTTGTTTACATAGGTGGTAAATGCATTTATTTGTCATAAGTGGAGATACATTTGCCCAAAGATGGACAGTACATTCTGAAGTACTTGGCAACACAGGCAGACAACACATTTTTTCCTGTGATTAACCAAGTAAATTTTGCTATATCGTCAGATATTCGTTTCCCATGACAATTGATTAAAATGGCATTTAAATAAATGGCTAACACAAATCTTCCATCAGTGAAGAAAGTTTTAAAAAAAATGTCAAAAATTAATTGCAATCCTCAAAGTAGCTCATAGACACTTACAGACATATTCCAAGCTACCACTTTTGATTGCAATTTTGAAATTTGGTTCAAGCTTGAAGTGGAAGGGCTCCATAGATAAGTTCAACTGTCATTGCATTCATACTAGTGTCGGTGTGTGGTTCCTCTTTTTTTTTTTTTGGTGGAGGGCAAGAAAAATGACATGAGACGGCTACTTCATTCAGATGTATATCCAGAACATTGACATTGGCTGATGACATAACATCCCCAACTAAGATCATGGAGAAGGAACTCCCAACAGTTCTTTTCAACAATACAAGATTCTTGGACAAGGATACCATGATGCACATGGGTGGAGAGAATTTAAGATAGTGACAACTCATTATCTGTATTACCATGGGTCTACGTGGCACAGTTTTTTGTTTTTTGTTTTTATATGGCACACTCAGGTGTCTACTTACATAATGATTTATGTGGATAACTTACTATACAATTGGTATGAATAAAAGTTCAAATGCAAATGCATTCATAATAGATAGAATGGAATAACTAGAGGAATACCAACACACTGACAGAACACATAGATAAAACATAGTTTGACAGGCTAGTTACCTTCAGCATCATCTTCGTCCTTGTCATCATCGTCATCGTCGTCATCGTCATCCTCTTCATCCTCCACTACTGGCTCGTCAGACTACAAAAAGAAATTGGATAATCACAACATAACCATAGAGATCCACAAGGGCAAAGGCATACAAATATAGATATTGACTCCACTGTGGCTAACTAATTTTTGTTCCCTTCATTGCTTGTGTTGAATTCTTGTTAAAACTCCACTTTTTTTTTCATTGGTTTGTCATTGCTCCTAGGTCCCATCTTGTTTATATTTAATCTGAAGCCACTTGCCTATTGAGTCATTTAACTAAGCTAATCAACACCCAATTACTCTCCAAAAAAAACCCAATGAACTATTGGATCACTTCTCTGCACCTAGTAATGGATTAAATTTATAAATTCAATTAGCAACTACCAAAGACTTCCCAAGGAAAAACTAATATAACCTTTCCAAAGGAAATCCAGGACACTAAAATCTCCTTATTTCCCAACTACAATGCATGTGAACATAAGATGACATGGGTATAGGAACACAACATGCACATATGCGCACAGAAAATCCTAGCAACAGTGAAAAGCTTTGAACTCAAAAAGAGTTGAAACTTGAACACATACCTTGCCCAAATCCATACAACACATGATATTGCCAAGACCAAGAGAGCAGTATTACAAGCGCCACCACAACCAAGAAATGTTATAGCATTAATAATATCATTGTTAACAACATCTGGGACAAGCACAAAGAACATTCAATTGCAAAAAACTCTTCGACATATATCTTGAATGACCACATAAAATTAAACCCATATACCTTAACTATTAAGCTGACTTGAATGCACTAACACTTTGTTTGGCAACCAATAAAACTGAGAATAATAACTTAAGCTGTAACTTGTAATTCGGTAATTAATTAAAACCACAGATAACATTAAAATTCAACTATTTTTTTCATTTTCTTTTCCTTCAATCTCTTGGAAACCAAACAAAACACGAACAAAGATTAATACAAAAAATGACATACGTATACACAATGATTTGCTAGATCTAAGACACAGTAAAAAACGACTTAATAGCCTAATCCAATATAGATCTGCGAAATTGCCGACAACACCAAGGTTATTTCATCCAGAAAAAACAGAAAAATAAGTAGAAATATAGGTAAAAGCAAGTCAATTTCACCATCCACAACGAGGAAAGGAAATGCACAGAGATTTCATTTTCAAGTACATACACACATATATAAATATAGAAAAATAGAAAAGACATAGATTACGTTGATCTTTTGTTGTTCCAGAAGAGAAGCAAGGAGCTCTTCCTGCGTCTGGGCAGTCATGGTTTCGTCTATAGAGAGAGAGAGAGAGAGAGCAAAAACCCTAAAAACCCAAAATTGGATTTTTGGAACACTTGAGGAACTTATTATATAGGGGACTAGGTGACGTGAAATTACAGAATTAGCATTGCTTTTGTTTATTGCCGCCCCCCCCCCCCCCCCCCTCTTTCGCCCTGATTTTTCCTTTTCTGGGCAATAATCAGCGGTCCCAATTAAAAAAAAAAAAATCAAAGGTCGTTTAGTAATATTTTTATTTTTACATCTTCAAAAAATTAAAAATAGAGATAATTTTTTGTCTCTATTTTATGGTAAACACTAAAATATAAAACATATTTGATAGTCATTTTTGTCTATCAAATTATAAGAAAAAAAAATAAACATGTTTGATAATTAATTCAAGTTTTATACTAAATATGTTTTATAATATCTCATTTTTTATTTTCAAACAAATCAACACTGAAAAATGATTTACAACCATGTATTAAAGTCCTTCAACAAAATATCAATCTTGCACAGCCAAATTTCTGAAAAAATTAGTCATGAAACTAAAATAAGTTGGTAATTACATTCACACACACACACACACACACATATATATATATATATATATTTTTTTTTTTTTGAGAAAAATTTTATTTCATCTATCAATGAATTACAAGAAGCAAAGGAATTCAAAGAACTCTAATTACAAAGAGTTGACTTTACTCCTTCACCAACACTAAAGCCATAAACTATCCACACAGTCCAGCATCCAAACTATTCATGCTAAGCATTTGTAATTCCCAATATGTATCTGTCTGTTGCTATTCAAATGTCATTCATCTCATTCTCAATCCCAATTCAATCTCAAATGGCAATTCAATCTCAAATGACAAAGGGTTTACAACGAAGTGGATCCCAAATCTCTATCCAAGAAAGGGCTTGCCTGGCTTCATTCCAAGAGAAATAATATGTGAGATGACTGAAGAACAACATACAACAGCATCAGAACTAGATAAAAAAACATTATTCATTATATCTGCACTTTTATACTATATACAAATAAACATAGTGTGCAAAAAAAAATGTTTATTATGAACATAAACTTCTAAATGGCCTCACAACACTCAACAGCCAGCAAGGAAGAACATAAAATAGAGACATTTACAACTAATAACAATAAGGAATTAAATTGTTCTAATCAACTCAACTCAACTCAAATGATCCTTTTACCCATATGAAATTGCAGGTTTCTTGAGCAGATATTCACAACCAAATTGGATTGCAGCATTAGCGAGCTAAGCTTATACTCTTATGGAGTCCCCTCTACTCTCACAGTTCACATAAATAGTTGTTTGAACAATGTCAAGTACTAAAAGGGTTTTGCCAAAAGAGGATGCATACACCTAACCTAAAGACATAATTGATTTGATGAACGAGATTGAGACCTTTTTTGATTGTTTTTGAGCATACCCAATTCATCACACAAATGATCTGAAGCTATAAAAACCCTAGAAAAAAGCAAAAAATAATTTCAATAGAACAAGATGGTCTATGAAATAAAAATCAAAAATTTTTGAAAGACAATATGCACATGTGCGTGGATGGTGTCAAACCCAAAAGAAAAGATGGCGCATAAATCATATTAAAACGAAACCAAAAGCAGAGAAAATTGTCAGACTCACTTGTTTAACAACACTAATTTCATCTTTTGTATGCATATATGGATGTATATTTCCAAGTAAACATTTACACAACGTATTCATTATCAAAAAAGATGGTAAAAGGGGAAGAAGAAAACTTGTGAGAGGATTTGATACACATAGGATATAGAAAACCAAATCAAGATGGCTCTTTTACGGGCATAATTATGTATATGCTTTCATAATTAGAGGAAATTTTTTTGTTATTTTTTTCCTTTCCTTTTTAGAGTAGAAAAATATTAATTGTACCCAATTCATCACACAAATGTCATTCATCACACACACACACACCCAGCACACAGAACACACACACAATACACATAGATCTACGCATATATGTGCACAGATCTGTGTATACATATATGTATATATACACAGATCTGTACACATATATGCATATATGCACAAATATATGTATATGTACATATATATTCACAAATATGTGTACATATATAGAGAGAGCAAGGAGATGAGATGAGAGAGGGAGAAAGATAGAGAAAGAGAAGGAGCTTACCTCCATTGGTGAGAGAGAGGAGAGGAGATCTCCGTTGGTGAGAGAGAGAGAGAGAGAGAGAGAGAGAGAGAGAGAGAGAGAGAGGAGAGAGAAATGAGGTGGGTTTAAATGGGTTGACAAAAAAAAAAGATTATTTTTGCTCTTAAGGGAGTTTGAAACCCGGATCTCATTAATCTTTTTTAGCGCGTGTTTCTTGAAACAAAAATTTTTTGTTCCCATTTTTTTATCTTTGTCTTCAATACAATGAAAACAAAACAAAACAAAAAACAGTTACCAAATTTATTTTTGTTTTCATTTTTGGCAAAAATTAAAAACAAAAAACACAAAAACATATAACAAAAACACAGTCCCTCAAAAACAAAACTGTGAAGGGTGCATTTGATAACATTTTTGTTTTTATATTTTTGTTTTTATAAAAAAAAACAGAACCAATTTTTATTTTTTTGTGATAAAAATTAAAAATATGTTTGATAGTCATTTATATTTAAAAAATTGTGAAAACAAAAATAAAAAATCTGTTTGGTATTTATACCAAAAATTCATCACCCAAACCCTACCACTCAACCCCACTAACCACCTAAAACCACCATCCAACCCCATTGACCACCCAACCCCACCATCGAAACCAACAACCCACTCCCACCACTGAAAACCACAAACACAACCACCCCACTGACCACCGAAAATCACCCCACTGACCACCGAAAATCACCCCACTGACCACCACCACCGAAAACCACCACCAAATCCCATCCCTGAAAATCCACACCCAAAAACCCACCCCCAAATCATCACCCCAAACCCCCAAAATCCACCCCTCATCTATATATACAAACAATATACATAGATCTAGGGATTGAGAAGACAATTGAGAGGGGCGATGACATGTTTCTCCCCTTTTCTACTTCGTCTTTGTCTTTGTCTTTGTCTTTGTCTTTGGCAGAGGGAGAGAGAGAGAGATGACGATTGAGAGGGGTGATGGCGATGGTGATGGCTTCAACTTTGTCTTTCGCATCGAGAGACAAAAAGAATTGAGAGGCGATGTTGATGGAGATGGCTTATCTTCGTCTTCAGCCTTGGCATTGAGAGAGAGAGCCGACAGAGAGACAACTGCGAGGATTGAAAGAGAGAGAGAGAGATATGGTTTTTTATACTCAAAGCAAAAAAATTCATATTTTGTTGCTAAAGAGGATTGAAGCTAAGACCTCATTAAATCCTTTATTAATTGCGCGTTTGCTTTTTTTTTTTTTTGATGTTTTCAAAAACATCATTTTGAATGTTTTCATATTTTAGCTTTGTTTTCAAAACAGAGCAATTAAAAAAACGAAAACATTCACCAAATATGTTTTTATTTTTTTTTTTACCATAAAATGAAAAAAAAAAAAACAAAAACCACCGATTACCAAACACTACCTAAAATGTTTGGGTAAAATATATTTTTTACCCTAAAGTATACTTATAGTGTCCATTTGATCTCTAATCTTCCAATTTTATTTATTTGGTATCTAAAATTCTTAATTTGTATCTATGTGGTCCAATTCAAACGTATGTTAGAAAATCGTTGACGGTTCTGATCACTTGTCAATCACGTAATTTCTAATTTTATGTCTATTTAGTCATAAAGTTCTTAATTTATGTATATTTGATCTCATGTGATTGGCACGTGACCGGAATAATATTTTTACAAACGTTTGAAATTGGATCATGTAGATACAACTTAAAAACCTTAGAGATTAAATAGGCACAATTGAAAGATTGGGGACCATTGACCAAATAAACAATACATGCATACTTTAGAGACTAAATATGTATTTTATCCTAAATGATTTAATTATTTACAATAGCCAAATTTGTACTCTAGTTTTGTCATATTTCATCTTCAATAGTTATTTTGATCAAAAAAAATCTTCAATAGTTATATTTCACTCTACTTTAAATTTAAGTTTATCTTTCTTTAAATGTAAGTCAATTTTTTTAAGCATTTTGATCAAATTAAATTTTTTATTCAAATACTAACTCAAAAGTGAATAAAAAATTGAGTCAATATTAAAAATAATGCTACGCTGATTAAAAAATAAGATAAAACAGAAAACTCAAATAATATGACATTCTATATGACAAGCAATACACAATTATTGCAAATTACGTATCATTGATTCTTTATTTTTAGTTTTTTTATGGGTTTATCATTATCCATTAAATTAGTCTACTATTTTATTTATTTATTAATCACTGATTTGTGGTTTAGTTCAAAAATATTCTAAGAGTGACTGGTACTATAAAAAATATATTTTACTTATATTTTTTAGGTAAGTAATTGTGTCTTTGTTGATAGAATTGTGTGGAAGCTCAATTCTAATTTTATGGTAATTTGTTTTCATATACATTTTCAATTTTGTATTACTAGAGAGCACACTCAGATACATTCAATTCTATCATTAATGAAATTCAAAAAAATATATATATCAAAGGAAATGCACTCTAGGTAAGATGTATCTGAGGAAGTGACAATGTATAAAGTTATCTTAACCTGATGACTTCGTTTGGTTAGAAAGAAAAATATACAAGAAAGTGAAAGTAGTAGAAACTGAAAATAAATTATATTTTCTTGCATGCATTTAGTTAGTGTGAAAATTTTTCAAGAAAATTTTAGGAAAAAAAATTAACTACCCATTTTACCCTTATACATTCCAAAATAAAATAATAATAAAAACTATCACCCATTTCACAATCGTGTCAAACGATAGCCAATTTTTACATAATTAATTTTATTAAGAGTGTTAAACAATCTGACATTAGTCCGATGTGTTTACTAAGTATCTTTTTGTTTTGATCAGTATGTATA